AATTTAGTAATAAGTAATGTGTGTTCAAGTGATTTTCTGAAAGGATATTTGCATGGGACCGACCGCACCCATGTTATGGACCGATCGTGAAAAAATCTTGAAATAGAATTTTTGTATACCAAACTAATATTTGTGCCAAATTTTGTATCAATAGCTTTATTTGGTAATGAGTAATGTGCGTTTAAGAGATTTTCGTAAAGGCGCTATTACCAATTATGTATATAAAGACAAAATTTCAAAATTCTGTATCTATATCATTATTTGGCAATGAATATTGTGCATTTAAGTGTTTTTCTGGAGGGGACCTAGTATGAGAGCTATGACCAAATATGGACCGATCGTAAAACAATTTTATAGTGTAATTTATGTATATAAGAGGAATATTTGTGCTAAATGTATGGATATCAATATTTTGTAATGAGTTATGTGCGTTTAATTGATTTTCGGGAGGGAACCTTGTCTGGGAGCTATGACCAATTATGGACCGATCGGAAAAAACTTTCATAGTAATATTTCTGTATATGTGAGCAATATTTGTACCAAACTTTATATGCATATCTTAATTTAGTAATGAGTTATGTGCGTTTAAGTGATTTTCGGAAGGGGACCTTGTACGGGAGCTATGACCAATTATGGACCGATCGGAAAAAAATTTCATAGTAATATTTCTGTGCATATGAGCAATACTTGTACCGAATTTTATATGGATATCTTAATTTAGTAATGAGCTATGCGCGTGGACCGATCGGAAAAAAATTTCATAGTAATATTTCTGTATAGCTATGTCCAATTATGGAGCGATTCAGAAAATTTTTTCTCTCAATGAATTGACATAAGATTTTAAGTTGTAAAATTTTTATGATGATATCAAAATTCTGACGGAAGTTATAACAAAAAACTCATTTTCCGGGAATATGTACTTTTGAATGGGAGGTATATGAAATTATGGACCGATTCTGGCAATTTTCAGCAAGAATCAAGATATTGTGTAGAAACGAATATATGATGACTTTCATGAAATTATCTTGCATAGTTTTCGAGAAAATTACATCAGAATGTGTAAAAAATGCTTATTTTTTCGGAGTTGTTTTAAATTTTGATTCATAACTTTTCTCGATGTGAACCGATTTTGCTCATTTTCAATACCAAACAGTACCGGATAATAGTGAATATTTTGGGTGAATTTGGTTAAATTATCTTGCTTTATTTTAACGTGAGCGTGTTTTACACAGACAGACAGACGGACAGACGGGCATAGCTAAATCGACTCAGAATTTCATAAGGACCCAGAATATATATACTTTGTTGGGTCTCAGATGACTATTTCTTGGTGTTACACACGGAATGTCAAACTTATATAAACCCTCTATCACCACTGATGGTGGTGGAGGGTATCTATACACAGAACATACTCATGTCGAGTTTAATAATAAATTATGTGGCATTAAGTGGTTTTCAGAAGTGAACCTTATATGGCAGCTAGATATGGACCAATGCTGAAAAAATTCCTTATATGGAATGTAACCAATTATGGACCGATGTGGAAAATGTTCACGGATGATTATACACAAAACAAATTCACGTCGAGTTTTACCCTGATAGCTTTATTTATCAATAATTATGCGCATTTGAGTGATTTTAGGATGTGGACCTTATATGGGAGCTAGTACCAATTGTGGACTGATCCCGAAAAAATTTCACTAATTGATTTATATCTATATACAGAACATATTCACCTCGAGTTCTACCCTGATAACTTTATTAATCAATGAATTATGCGCATTTGAGTGATTTTCGGATGTGGACCTTATATGGGAGCTATGACCGATTATGGACCGATCCGGAAAAAATTTCGTAGAGTAATTCATATACACTCAAAACACATTCATGTCGAATTTTATCCAGATAGCTTTATTTATCTATGAATTAAGCTTGTTTAAGTGATTTTCGGATGTGAACCTTATATGGGAGCTATGACCAATTATGGACCGATCCGAAAAAAATTCCGTAGAATGATTTATGTATATACATGTATGAATATGTATTCATGAATATGTATTCATGTCGAATTTTATCCCGATAGCTTTATTTATCAATAAAATATGTTCATTTAAGTGATTTTCGAAAGTGGACCTTATATTGGAACTATGACTAATTGTGGACCGATACAGATCTAAGTCCGTAGTTTTGATTCCTGTTCATATAATGTCAATATGAACAAAATTTTGTGTTGATACCGATATATTTGAGGAAGTTATTAACGATAAATTAATTTCCGGGAATATGTACCTTTGTATGGGGGCTATGGGAAATTTTGGATCGATTGTTACAATTTTAAACATAATTAATCTATAGATGAAAAAAATAATCTGTGACAAAATTTGTCGAATTATCTTTGGTAGTTTCTGAGAAAACTACTCAAGAATTAGGGAAAAAAACTTAATTTTTTTTAGGTAGTCTGAACTTTTTACGTTGTGAACCGATTTTGCTGATTTTCAATACCAAACTGCTTAGGAAAACAATGAATATTCTCAGTGAATTTGGTTGATTTCATTTGCTTAGTTTTAACGTTTAACGTGTTTTAACCAGACAGACGGACATAGCTAAATAGACTCAGAATTTCATAAGGACCCAGAATATATATACATTGTTGGGTCTCAGATTAATATTTTTTGGTGTTACACACGGAATGACAAACTTATATATACCCTTATCACCACTGATGGTGGTGGAGGGTATAAAAATCTTGGGACACCGGTGTCCCGTATACGTTAAAGAGTTTATATGAAGAAATTTCTTCATATTTACTAATATCGTTTCGATGTTTAGGCGTGGTAAATATGAAGATATTATAAATATTATATATGTAAGTGCTTTTGAATAAAAGTCCAAACTAACAAAGATTCCTTTGGATACTCAAAAATTAAGTAGAAAAAATATTTTAAAACAGATATCAATTGCATTTAATGCAGAATGCATTTGATATTTTACGTCTTCAAAATAAATCACGATTTCTTTTGGTTCTAATATTGAACCTGAAATTAAAATCAACGGCTGAATTTTAAGGCTTGTTGGATATTTTTTCGTCAATTCTTCTTCACAAGCGGCAACTGTATAAATCTAGTACATATTTTTTCCCATTTGAAACATTAAACGTTTTTGTTGACGGTACCAAAAGACTATGTAAAAGGAAAAAATACCAATACAACGACCATCTGAAAACAAAAAATAGTAAAATTATTTTTATACCCACCTTCAAAAAGGATGGGGGGTATATTGATTTTGTTATTCCGTTTGTAACACATCAAATATATATACAAAAGTATATATATTCTGGGTCCTTATTAAATTCTAAGAACATCTAGCCTTGTCTGTCCTTCCGTTTGTCTTCTGTTGCACGATAGAATCCGAACGGAACGAGATAGAGGATTTAAATTTTCCACAAATATTCTCTATAGGTAAGGTTTGTTTGGTATTGAAAATGGGTAATATCGGTCCACGTTTTCGGATAGCCCCCATACAAGAGCACCCCCGAAAAACTGCTTTGATGGACATATCTGATTCAAAAGTACGAATATAGCGATGAAATTCGACATAAATTAGTTTCATATGATCAAAAATCTCCTTACAAAATTTTATGAGGATCGGTCCATAATTGACCCTACCCCCCATATAAGGCCCCATTCAGAAAATTACTTTAACGCTCATTACTGGCTTTAAAATACGAGTATAGGGATGAAATTCGACACACGTAAGTTTCAATGTAGCCAAAATCTCTCTATCAAGTTTTATGTGGAGCGGCCCATAGTTGACCCTACCCTCCATATAAGGTCCCCTTCAAAAAATTAGCTCATTGCTGGCTTAAAAATACTAGTATAACAATGACATTTGACATAAGTAAGTCTGTTATGATCCAAAACCTCTCTACCAAATTTTATGTTGATCGGTCCATTCTTCAATTCTGCAGGCCATTATTTTTTTATATATACCTTTAGTTATATTGAAGAAACTTTTTAAATTTTAATAAAGTGGTTTAGTTAAAATTAAAAAAGTGATTAAGTTAAAATTAACGAAATTTCTTCAAAGCTACAGTCCTATTTCATTATTTCTTCTTCTTTATATTTTATTTTTTCTGTTTTATTGCAATAAATAAAGAAATTTCTTCAAAATTTTATTCATATCAACGATATATTCTTCAAATTGACAACCTTCAACGGTATAAAATTAACTATTTTAGATGTAGTTTTGAGTAATTGCGATTTACTATTTTACCACTGTTTTAACTAAATTTCTGTCAATTTAACAAAATTTTGGAGGTAAATATAAAGAAATTTATTCAAATCAACAGATTAAATTTACAAAATTTTTTAACAAAAATAAATTACTAAATATGAAGAAAATTCGTTTATATGAATAAAATTTCTGTAGATTTGAATAAAAAACCTGTAGATTTAACTATTTTTTTTCGTTAAGGGATTACTAAAATTTTTCGTTAATATTACTTACGATATTTTTTTCTGTGTGTATCACTCCGGCAGTTCTTGACCGATAGAAACAGATGAAATTTTGTGATAGATGAAAATCTGTGTCTGGCCTACTATCCAATAATACACAGAAAAAAATAAAAATCGTATTTAACTACAAAATTTACAGATCTGAATCCAAAATTATTCAATTTCCAGCCAATAAAGATTTTTGTCTCATTGACTACGACATTTGTAATTTTTTGTCTTGTTTTGGTTTTTTACAGTCGATAAAAAAAAAATCAAATCGACTAAAATATTACTCAGTCAATTTTTTACTACCCAATAAACTTTTGTTGTTAAGTAATTAGAAAAAAAAATTGATAATTATTTTTATTAAGATAACCATTTTCTTTGTTGGATTTAATGCCAATTTCAATTAAAAAAATCATTGACTTGACTAATTTTCTAAGCTTCTCTTTGGTTTCTGCAACTATGGCAAACGAATTAAGGGAATCTGTTACGGTAAACTTTCTTCTGGTTTAGTCTCCGGCTTTGTCAGTAACTAATTTCTGCTGAGGTGGAAACAAGTAGTGTAGGAAATATAGAATAGAAAATATCCTTGATTCTGATAAAATGTAATTGTGTAAATGTTAAATGTCAATTATATATTTAAGTCAATAATATAGCAGCTTACCATCATTGCACGGCTTCAAATTTTTCAGCATTGTTGTAACAGAAACCTTTGGTACTTTAGTCTGAAGCAGATGTAACAAATTACTCATTTTCCGTAAATACCCACTTAGCTTTCATTTTTTTAGCTTCAGATCAAAATCTATGTCAATCTGTAAAATTTATGCTAGTTAAAAATAATCTAATTTATAGTGTATTATGAGTTAACTTACGGAAGGTTTTATGTATTCAGGATATAATTTTAACATCTCGGATAAAGACTTTGATCACTCAATTTGCTGAAATCTACATTTATAACATTTCCTCCAATATAAATCTAATTCATCGTTACTATAGATAATCTTACCTAATTCATTACGCAAATTCATTACGTTTTAAAAGACAAAAGACAGTATTATAATAATATTCCTGAAATTGTATAATAGTTAATTTGTATTTATGTATATTTTTTGTACAAAATATATTTCTGTGGAGGATGCCCTGGTAGGCTAGTTGGTGGTGTATCTGGGGGTTGTGGGTTCGATTCCCACCAGAGACTCTGGTCTGCTACACTACAACGGGCATATGGTCATCGTCAACCTGCCCGATAAATATGGTTAGAATATAATATTTAATTGTGTTGAAATGGACAAATAAATATTTCTGCGGATTCAAATGACTCATCACAAAAGGAACACCTTATTAAACATACCATCTTTATGTGGATTCCGAAGAAAAATTATAGATGTAAATAATTTAAAAAAATTACGATTGTGTATATTTGCTTATAATCACTCTTCACTTTAAGTACAAATGCGTATTAAATTATTACAATTATAATTACTTTTATTTTTTAACAGATCACTCTTAACAAAATACGTCCGTCCACTTTGATTTGCAAAATAAAACTTAACATAAACACAAAAACATAAAGAAAAAAAACTTTGATAATTTTACTCGTGTCTTGTTTCGACATGATCTTTCAACAACAAAAAAATTATTTAAAAAAAAGTTTTTGTAACGTCTTTCTAAAGCATAGTAACAGCAAATTGCATAGCAACAGCAGAAAAAGAAAATGTCCTAGATTACAAAATTGTAGGTGAATCAATCAAACCGGCTAAATTTTTTATTCAAACGGATTAATTATTTTATTAAGTGAATTTATCGGTTGCTATTATACCAAAGACACCTTTTGACTAATTATTTTATCAACTTAACAAAATTTTTAATCAATAAATTGTCTATTTATGACAAAAAAAAATTGTAGGCAATTTTAGGTTAGGTTAGGTTAGGTTAGGTTGATAGGAGGATGTATACTACATCAAATCCGAAGAAATACACCTAGGCCACTATCGGGCCTGTTGTGCGCTCCAATTCAAGAAAAAAAAAATTGTTCACTGAATGTATTATTTTTCCATGTTCAGAAACTCAGTTTCCTGGACGTAATTCCTAAGAATCTTCCAATCGGTGTTGGTTAAGAATGTTATTTCCGGAATAACATCACTTCCAAGATACTTGGATCTAACTTCGACGAATGCCTGACAATGGCAAAGAAAGTGCTCCAGAGTTTCACTGTCCTCTCCACATGCTCTACATTCGTCTGAATTCGCACGTCCAATTTTGTATAGATCTGCTCGTAATCCTGTGTGTCCACTGAGAATACGTACCATCATACTAACCTCAGACTTGCTCATTTTGAGAAGATTTCTCGTCTTGCTCTCATCAGGGTCACCCCATAGAATCTTTGTGGTTCTACCCACGGTTTCATTATTCCAAGAGGCCTTATGGGATTCTCTCATCCATATTTTTAATTCAGCTTTTGTTGCGTCGAATGGTTTTGCGTTTGTCAGGTTAACTACATCGAGCTCCCTTCCCTTTAAAGCTATTACATTTGCCCTTTCGTTGCCGACTACTCCCGAGTGGCCTGGTACCCATATGATGTGAACCTTACCTCTGGGAGAGTATTCAGTTAAAGCTTTCTTACAATCCAATACGGTCTTAGATTTAATTCTATCACCTGATATCGCACAAATTGCCTTCTGGCTGTCGGTAAATATATTAAGCCCTGTGGGCGCCATATTTATTCTAATCCAATTTACACATTCCGTTATTGCTCGTACTTCTGCCTGGAAGCTTGTGTTATGATTAGGTAAACGGTGGTATATTTCTGTTTCTGGGTCTTCAATATAGAACCCCAGGCCCACTTTGTCCCCTAATTTAGAGCCATCCGTGTAGCAACGGATTCCTACTGGTATTTGCTCTAATGTTCCGCTTGACCAAGACATTCTATCTGGGATTAGCGTTTCAAAGTTTCCGACATATTCAGTGTCTGGTATGCGATCAGGCACGTCCGATGAATGTGTATAACCTTCCAATGTGTCCAGTATACATTGATGACGTGTCCTATAACCGTTTTTGGCCAGTTCGCCTAAAGTAAAGAGCCGTTCGGCTGTAAGCGCCGCCTCATATCTTATATATGTTTCAATGGGTGGAATATCTAGCAACGTTTCCAGAGCCTTGGTTGAAGTAGTACACATGGCACCACTTATACCCAAGCAGCATGTACGCTGAACTCCCTGTAGTAGTTTGATATTACACTTTTTGTCCAAAGCAGTCCACCAGATTATTGAAGCATAAGCTAGAATTGGTCTAATTACACTTTTATAAAGCCAATTTGTCATAGTAGGACTAAGACCCCATTTCATGCCTATGGTTCTCCTATATATCGCCCAGCACCGATGTGCCTTGTTGATCCTATCCTCTATGTGATGTCTCCATTTTAATTTCCGGTCAAGGATTACACCTAAGTACTTAACTTTGTCTGTCACCGGTATCTTCTTGCCCAAGAAGCAAGGTTCAGTATATGTAGAAATTTTTGTCTTTCTTGTGAAAAGACAGATTTCCGTCTTCGCCGGGTTAACATTGAGGCCTCTCGGTTGAGCCCAGCTCAAGGCCGTATTCAGAGCCTCCTCAGCTCTTCTACACAAGTAATTTGGATCCTTTCCCTTTAAAAGTATTACGACGTCGTCTGCATAGCAGACAGGGGTAAGTCCTTTCTCGGTTAGGGTCCTTAGGAGGCTATTAATCGTGGTAACCCAGAGTAAAGGTGACAAAATGCCACCCTGTGGTATACCGCGAAATACCTTTTTCCTGATAGTTATATCGTACATCTCGCAGCTTATCCATCTGTTCCTTAGCATGTAGTTGATCCAGTTACGGAGCACCCGGTCAACATAAAACTGGTCTAGGGATTGGATAAGGGTATCAGTGTGCACGTTATTGAAAGCGCCTTTGATGTCAATGCATACTGCCAGTGTATACAGTTTGCTATCGAAAGATTCACCTATGTAGTGGACAACTTCATTTAAAGCGGTTTCCACCGATCGTCCCTTTACATAAGCATGCTGCTTATATTTAAGGTCATTGTATGGTATGCTGCTTTTAACCATGCTATCGACTATCCGTTCCAAGGTTTTAAGTAGGAAGGACGTAAGGCTTATCGGTCGATAGGACTTAGGTGTCGCATAGCTAGGTTTCCCTGGTTTGGGTATAAATATTACCCTTGCATCCTGCCATTTAATGGGGGTATATGCCAATTTTAAGCATGCAGTGAATATCTGTGACAGATGTACGGAAACCAGTCCCGCCTCCATCTGCAAAAGTGCCGGAAAAATTCCATCAGGCCCTGCAGCTTTATAGGGAGCAAAGCTCTTGATTGTAATAACTATTTCCGTGTTACCCTCCCCTTCCTCCAATATCGGTTCATCTATGTTATTCGATATACCGGGTGGGAAATGAGAATCCATTAGGAGTTTCATTGTCTCCTCCATATCCTCAAGCCTCCTGCCCGTGTCATCGATCATAGATTCCGGTTGGACATGAGTTTTGGATAGGAATTTTTTTATCTTCGATACGTCATTTACGCTATCTACCTGTTCACAGAAAAGTTTCCAGGAGTCTCGTTTGGCTTTTCGAACGATTTTCTTATATTCACTTTATTACGATACTTCTTTATTACGATACTCATCCCAGTATACTGCGGTCTTTTTACGCCGTGCCCGGTTAAATAGTTTGCGAAGAGTCTTCCCAAGGTTCCGGATCTCCCCAGTTACCCAGGGTTTTTCCTGGGCAGATCTCCGTTCTCGCAGAGGGCAGCTGTCCTCGAACGATTCAACCAGGGCACTTGTGAACGTTTCCACTTCTTCTCTGATTCTATTGACGAAGGTAGCTTTATTACCTAAGTTCAATGTTATCAAGTCTTTAGTATTAAAGAAATCCATGAGGGCTTGTCTCCTGCGATTGGTGTTTGTACTACCCCAAGCTACATGATGCGAGTTGGCATCACAACCTATTACAATTTTCTTATTTTTCCTTTGTGCCTCTTCAACCAGTTTCATCAGATCCGACGTTGGTGGTAGTGTCGGAGAATCGAAAGGCAGGTAAATAGATGCAAGGAATATGTTGCCACGACCTTGCTTCAGCACCGTTGCATCCGATGTTGATAATCCTGTTGAGAGGAGAAAACATAAGTTCTTGTGACATAAGATACATGTTCTCGGGCGAGATCCTGTATCAGCGTAGAAAAGTTGGAAATTTACGTGATTTAATCCAGAAACCTTGTGGCGAATCGTCCAAGGTTCCTGGATTAAAGCTATATGTATTTTACCTGTGTTGATTTTAGCCATCAGAGCGTTGGTAGCTGTCTCGCTCCGATGGAGGTTTATTTGGATAACCTCAATCATGGTCATCCATTAAACTGTCTTCCAGCGAGTTGGTGGTCACCTCCTCGCTCTTTGGATTTGACTCCTCCGGATAGCCTGAAGGCATAGGAATAGCAGTATTTTTACTAGACACATTCCCAATTCTGGAGAGCATTGCTGTTCTGTCTTCTGGCGGGTGAGTGATTTCCTCCTCGCTTTTAGGATTTGACTCCTCAACATTGCTAGTACTTGCTAATGATGCTTTGGGTACTGTCTTAGGTGTTTTAGTGTCCTTGTCGGGGCCGGTTTTGACAGCCCTTTCAATCGGCGCCTTCCCAATTTTGGAAAGGGCAACTACACTTTCTTCTGGCGAGTTAATGGTAAATTCCTCGATTTTAGGATTTGACTCCTCAACGTTATCAGTAGTGGATACTGATGCTGTGGTCTTAGGTTTTTTAGTGTCTTTTTCGAGGCTTGTTGTAACAGCCCTTCCAATCGGCACCTTCCCAATTTTGAATATGACAGATTTAGAGGCGAAGTAAGCCCTACCTTTATTCTTGGCAAGACTAGCCATGGATTTCTGGTCGATACCTATTACAA